TTTTTTTTATTATGAGAGAAATACACCTTTACATTGTTTATCACCTTGTTGGTGAGAATAAAACATAAATAAAACATTCTTACAAAATGCTTCAATAAATCACAAGTCAATTATTTTTTACAAGTAATTTGTATTATACATAAATCATATTTACACATTTGCCCTTCTTTTTTTTTTTTCTTCTTTTTTTTTTTACATTGCTGAGAACGAAACAACTGTGTACCAGTTGAATAGTACAAACATTTCCTTCCTTTCAAAGCAGAGGTATAAAAGCTCTCCTCTCTCCTGAGAAGACGCTGGGTTCTACTCTAGTGCATTTTATCATTAAGATTTAAGGCTACGCAGGGTTCACCTAATGGACACACTCGTCTCTCGGACAGGCTTATCATCATCGCTGGGTGAGGGAGTTCATTTTCCCAACTTGTGTCTGCTGATTGTCCCTTACAGAGGTCTGTGGTTCTGCCCAGTCGCTTCCTCCAACCTTTTTATTCCCCCCACATTAAAGCTGCTGCTGACTGGTTACACTGAATAACCAATTACAATCTCTGACAACTTATTTGTTTCTGCAGTCAATTACAAATGCCGTGGGGAAAAATGTCGCAGAGTGTGAGAGCCCACGCTCATCACATTATCTCTGACCTGCTGAGAAAAAAAATACATCAATTTCTCACAGCAGGAGTCACAGGAAAAAAAACCAAAACAAAAAACTAAACAGTTTCATACTTTCTGGTTGTTGCTCTTGTGTGAGGGAGGGAAATTATTTAGTTATAGGTGCAGTGCTCCCTAGTGGTCAAAACACACCTTAAAGCAACACCAAAAGTCTACCCCTCTCCGTTTCTTTGACAGGATTACACCAAAGCCATAAACAAAAGACATGAAGCAACTAATTGGCAGGCCGCATAAGCCTCTTACAAGACACACTATAATAAACCAGCCTGGACGTGAAGTCAAATCCTCAACACAAGACAGCGAGTTAACAAACAAGCACTTAAACGTGAGAAAAAGAGGCAGCGAGGAAGCAGTTCGGCAATGCTGCTCTGCCTTTCATGGGAAGAGGATCCTTTTTAAACGTCTTTGTCCTTCCTACCTGTCCCGCAGGTAGTCCTGCCCACAGTGTGAGCTTCGCAGGTCTTAAATATTAAGACGGGTCATCTTTGAAAAACTCCATAAAAGCTCACAGCCCCTTATTTAATCTACTTAAACACTTTAACCGTCTTTGGATCATTTTGCCCTTGATTAAAAAAAAAGAAATCATATTTACTCGTATCTCACGCTGATTAAAAATAAACATGTTAACATTTTTAGGACAAAGTGCTCAAAAACACTGATGAGTGTTGACTAATCTGAAATGATCAGAGACTACCTGCTGAGTCGGTTTAGTCACGAAACAACAACAGAACATATTTGTAGCTAATGTCCACTCTCATTCCCTCTAAGCGGTTGTTTTGTCCGTAAATTAACGGCCTCCGTTCCTACGACCAGCAGCTGTGTGCATCTGCAGAATCTATTATGGGAACTGAAAGGAGGCGAAAGAGAGAGTTGATCTCTTTAACACACAGAAACCATTAGTATGCTACCTGCAGAGTTACATGCAATTAAAAAAAAATGAAGGAAAGCCCTGCTTGTCGGCGTTCAGATGAAAGATGAGGGCTGCATAAAAGCCCATTGACAGGCAGATGAAACGACAATCGAGCCAATATCCATCCAAGACTCTAAAACACACTAAAGGATATGAATTGAGCCATTAGACAGAGAGAGATATCTCTCAATCCTTTCATTACTGAGCGTCTAAGAAAATACACATCTGAAGAGCTTCACTCCAAATTGGAGATAGCCATAATTCAAATAAATTAAAACCTCATTAAGGAACATGATTGATGGCATGAAGTCATCATTAAGGATTACACAAGTTAGCCAATTCCCTTTTGCTTGCGAACTGGGGACAGACTCAGCGGATCTAATCGCATCTGCTTTTTGAACACTCGACGCGAACGTCAGGCTATGATTCACTGCGTCTTCGACTGAAGCACTGAAACGGCTTTGGACTCTCTCTGATTAAGAAATGTTGCTAGGTCCCGTAAGTCCCCCCCCCGTGGGTTCAGTCATCAATTAGCTGTCAATGAATATGATTAGGTATGAGGAGTTTCCATCGCCACAGGGAGCTCGCTGACATTCACAGTGGCATTTGGATTTGTCTGTGTCCTTGAACGTGTGGTTGAAGTCGCACGGAAAAGGCCCTGCTTCTGTAAATTAACATCACAGCCTGCTGGTGTGGGGCTCTAGGAAAAAAGGCAGCCGTAACACACGAGCCCCTGACAGACTTGGAAGAGCCTGAAAGGCAATTCGCTGTGAAATGCTTTCAGCGTGATACTGAGCTGTCACAGATGTCTGATTTTTGAAAATGAAGAAATTCTAACCATTTCTTTGGAAAAGGAAAAGATGAATTTTGGACAGGGAATAACGAAAAAGTGCACAGCCAGTCCATCATTCCCATTTTTAGCTACTGAGCTGAATCCTAAACGCACACCACAGCAGAGCCTAATATATCCTAATTCCCAACAAACTAAAAGCTGTGGTATTTGATTTTAAAATGTATCTTCTTCTGTGTAATGTTAAACAGCTCTATGTTATGACATGGAAAATTAACTAAAAGCCTTTTCAAGGTGATTCAAAAAGCCTGTGTGCGCAGGTGAATGTGTTACTACTTGGCAGCACATTCCACCATCAGAGTGGTTTGATGGGTTCATGGTAATGAGGAGGAGGAGGAGGAGGAGGAGGAGAGCCACTTGTCTCAGCAGAAAAAAATCTCTCCATCCAGAGGTGGCTCTGGAAGGGGCTGGGAGTCTGTGAAGAGGAGAACAGGAGTCAGCATCACCCCGAAAACACAGGATTTTGATTTCTGATCAGTTGCCGGTGACGTTTCACCTTATACACGTCAGGATTTTGCAACCCACAAATATTCTCTAAATGCCAAAACGAGAACTAAATGCTTCCAAAATGCAACTCATGGCTGAAATTTAGTAACAGCAACATATTTGCAGAAACTCCCAGCTTGTTTTTCTTCAACGCTTCAAGGACGATAGGCTTGTCCTCCATTTTTCATTGCCGGAGGCCAAAAGAGAAACCACAGTCTACGAGAGAATCTGAGTTATAAGGCTTTTGTAACATAGTGTCACCAAATTTTGCACAGAAATTGAAATATGACTTCCAAATAATTCAGAGTTGCCCGTATCACTGCTGCAAAAACACTTGTCTGAATAATGTCCACACTGCATGAACCAGGGAGGTCAGAGTTCCTGCAACATAGTGTGTGCCTGTGTGCCTCAGGGTGAGTACTGTCCAGCACCAGCAGCCTTTACATTTACAGTGATTAGCCCAGAAGCAGCAACTGGCAAATTTGTGTTGGAACTGAACACAGAGAAATAGACCAAGAATAAAGTCCAGCCTTTATTAAGCCTTTATGCCTCTAAGCTGTTATGGAAGTGACAGCTTAGAGAATTCTATAGCATTTTCCTCTAAACTTTCTGAGCCATCCAGGAAATTATAGTGGGGAAAATGCAAGAGAAAATGGTGACGCTGAAATGAAATTACACCCAAAGAAGATCTGAAATGGTTTAGTGGACACCATTTTTGTCACTGATGTTTATTTGCTGCTAATTTAAACATAAACGATTCATTACTCAAGGGTGGTGGTTGTCATCAATGACACTGTAGCTTCTGTTTAAGCTCTTAGTAACACGTACTGGAAATGGTGACTGGTGGTGTTGTATAATGAAGTATGGCCAGTATGGGTTAACTGCATAGTCTAAATTCAACACTTTAGTATCTCTTTTTGAACTCTGCTGCCATCAAGAGACCCACAACACACAGCAAACACACTGCTGCAGTCACAGCTGGGTAGGATATTAGCATTCCCCTTGGGCACTTTAATTCAAACACAAAATAAACTCCTAAAGATATGTTGTTACCAACAGGGAGTCCCAACTGTGTGGCCTTATGCTGGCTCACTGCTCATTTCAGAACCATCAGTTCACATCTACATGTAGTTCATATGTTTCATAACAAGTGTAGTTCTTCTGTGTCAGACATAAGTTCACTTCTAACAGTGTTCAAGATCCCCCTAAAAATGTAGGACAGTCGAATAATTTACTTTTGTGACTAATTTAATATTGTATCAAATTTAAGCTCCATGTGAGGCCTCGTGACAGCCTAAGCAAATCTGAGCATGTGACCAAAATTACACGTCTGTTTCTCACTGAGCTCAGTTTTTTCAAGTCTGCTTTAAAACAAGATTGGCTTCAGATCATTCTGATTACTTTCATTGTGACAGAACATATCAGGCCAACAGCTGACACAGAAAGTGGTTTAATATGGTGCAATATAGTGTTGCACAATGCATTTCTAATCACTGATCAGCTCTCTAAAGGTGGATTTTCTTTTTAAGTGTTATTTATTCATTAAGCATTTGCATTTTAAAAAATTCAGAAAGGAGCTGTTCAGATCAGAAGCAGACATTTCTGCAAAGGGCAGAAGCATACGTCACCGCATATGTACATCAACACGGTGGACTTGTGCAGGAAAAATGCTCAAATTTTCTGTAATTGGATTAGGAAACGGAATATTCCTCCACTCTGAATCCAATGCAAATGTAAATAATTCTGGACCTGTTTCTTTCTGGCTGAGGTATTTATATGGAGCCTTTTTATTCTGTTTGTACTTCTAATGCAGTTAGACTAGAAACACCATCATGCATGTAAACTGGGCAGTAGGAAAACAGGAAACTCCCTCTTCATGTTCTTCCAATAGGGGAAAACAAAAGATAAAATCTAGTCTTCGTGTTTGTAATGTATATTCCAACGTTAGCCAGGTGCATATATCAACGCAAGCGGCTCTCTCCTAAAATATCTTCTTTTTAGTTTACATTTCATTCTGTTTCCTGAGGCAGTGTCATCAAACTGAGCTGTCGTGGTGGGATAGTAACACAAAGATGGAATTTTGCACAAAAAAAAGGTAAAACTTTGAAACATTCTCCTTTCATACATCTAACTCCGACTTGGCTTCAGATTAGATACTTAAGAGCATACATTTAAACAGATTTTGTCTCCAATCATTTCCGTGGTGGTTTCTCTGAAATGCTGCAGTTTAGCAGAAACTAAAAGAATATCTGAAAAAATTCAAACTTTGTAAGGTCAAAAAAAAAAATTCTTTTTTCTAAGTTAGTCATAAAGAAAACTAATTTTTTTGGCTGGTCGTGACAGATGATGCACTTTGGCAGGAAACAAAAAACTACCTTGAAACTTTGCACTCAGCTGTAGACCTGACATATCCTTCCTTCTCCCTCCATTATCCATCCATCCACATGTCTACCAATAATGTCTCCTTTTCAATAATAACTAAACACAGTACATCCTTGACAAAAAGCACTCCACTCCAACCTGCTGACTCACTGTGAAACACTGAACAATTCGACTCGATCCAGCCGGTTTATCATCTTATACCTGCTGACTGTGCGCTCCCCCCTTTGGCCTTTTTCTTCTTCTTCTCCTTCTCCTTCCCATCTTTGCCCTTGTTCTTGGCTAGCTGCAGGAGGCTCTTGGAGATCTGGTTGTTGCCTTCGCTGCCCTTGAGGTTCGTGGAGGATGAGGTAAAGGGATTGAGGCCTTTCCCTTTGGGCTTGGACC